AGTTTCAAGAGGAACAGAAATATGTTTTCATGAGCACTAGGCCCCCTAGAGGGTCAAAGATACATAGTTGAGTTAATGGAATTTTCATTTCACCATTTGGTCATATGAAAGCAAATTAATGTACAAATGTTGGTGCTATTCCTACTTCTTATTTAAGTGAATTTTATAGCAAATTGTTTTATTCTTTATATCAATTTCAAACAGTATCATCAAAGTTAGGTCCGTAACTAAAACTGGAAAAGATAACTTTCTAAAAGTATTACTTTTTAAATTACTTATAATAAATTTTGTTATGATACAACCATTTTATGTATTTAGCTTAAGTGTCTCCCAAAAGTATTAGCTAAATTTAAAGAGTTTCTGTTTCAAAGCAATTTATTAGATATTTTTAAAATCAAAATTTTATTTTTGCATTTCTGCCCATCAATCTGGAAATGATAGCTCAGAAGAAAAAAAGCACCAATTATTTTTCAGATTAAAACTTCTCACAAGTTTTACTTTCATCCTATTGTGTCTTCTATTTTATAACTGTCAACCAAATTACAAGTAATAGCAAAAATCAAAACCTAATTTTAATGATAGTAAAGGGATAGCAAACATAATGGCTATCATGCTTAGAATATATATCTAAATATTTTGTCACTCTATAACTAGAAAAATTAAAAATTCTAATGATGTATGTCATTACACAGTCAAATATGAGAAGCAATATGCAAGTCAGCCACAAAGTGAATACTGGAAACAGAATGTAAAGGAGATATTAAAAAGAAGACCATAAAATGACACGTAAAATAGTCCACACAAATTAAGATCAATTCATCCAGAAAAAAAAATCACTTGCTCAGAAGAAAAGCAACTAAAGCCACATAGTTGTACTAAAAAAATAAACAAACAAAAACAATTTGCAAAGTTTTAAAAAGCAAGACTGGTGAAATTTCAATTAACCAAAGGCCACATCCTCTCAATTTCTAATCTTTAAAATCAACTGAAATCACCAAAGCAAACACTATACACAACTGTTTGCCACTTAACCCACCACCATGCTATTTTTCTAGCAAGAATTTGCATACATTGTACTCCTCTGCCCATAAACTCTCCTCAAGATTTACAACTCAAATCAGGTGGGAGGTATGCCCTTCCTTTGTACTCTACAACCTCCGCAGGGTTTGTGTCTGCTTTTTTCAGTAAATCATGAGGCCTTAAGACCAAAAACAGTATTTTATTTGTGTTTATCTCCTGATACTTAGAATAGTATGCTTAGTACGTGAGAGGCATTCAAGTTCTTTAATTAAACTTCATCCATCATAGGCAAAACAACAGCATACAAGTCAGATGAAATTCAATCAATGGCACTAGCTGCTTTGTGACAGAGGTTCTCTAGTCCTGTTTGAAAGTTTTGTGTGGTCATACAAGTAAAAAACTGCCACTTACATTGGTATTAAACACAGAAATAAGAAAAGAAACGCCTTGCCTTCAATTAGTTGTTAATGAATTATTTAACAAGGTGAATTGTCAATAACACACTTGAGGCTACCTTCCTCCTTCCAGTAAGTATTCTCCAGGACTTTCTTTCTTCAAAGCTATAATTCTCCAGGACGTTCCTTTATTTCCTTTATTTTGCTTATCCCACTTAGGTGGTGAAGAATCCTCCAGGGGAAAGCAGTGGCAAAATTGGAAGGCCCATATTCAAAACAGAGGCAAAGTTTTAGGAATAGCAAGATTATTCACACGATAGTCTGATCCATTATTAAACAGATACAAAATTATGAGATAGAAAATGCTTATTTAAAGAAGATACTGAATGACCCACAATGTCTCCATACATCAAATACTTAGTACAGAAACTCTTAGCCTATAAGTATATATTCTATGTATTAAACCCACTGAGTATCCCACATATCATAGGTTCCTAAATATAAACAGGTAACAATTTCTTATCCCATTGGTTGGGTGATCAATTTCCAGTGAGGTTAGGGAAATCATTATCTGACATTATGAAGATGAAGATAGTCTCCAACTTTCACATCAAAAACAAAACAAAACAAAACAAAAAACCAAAAAAAAAAAAAAAAAACCAAAGCATTCAATTTTGGCATTAATCCCAAGCTTTTAGTTTCATCTATTGAAGTATTTTGCTTAAAACAGAGTTCACTTTAAATGGGACCAAAAAACCCAAAATTTTTTAAAATTTGATTTTAAAGTACTACTCACCAAGAACTTTTGGGGTTCTGCTAAGAAGTAAACTATCTGATCTCTAATACTCGTTTAGGTAACTTATTATGCCTTTAAGAAAACTATTTTCCTCATAACACCAATGATAATCATTTAACTAAAAGTATCATTTTTCCTCTTTTACTTTTCAAACCTGAAAATGGGCATGGTAACACCAAAACAATGTGGATATTAAAAGTACATTCTTAAAAGATTCTGAAATAAAAAGATAAATACCATATCACATATAATAATCAAAGATGATCAAGGCTGGATAATAATGCTCAAAACAGCATCAAACTGAAAGGGTTAACAGAAGGGTATCAAAACAAACTAAAAAAAATAAAAATAAAAAAAATTACTACACGGAAAGAAGACATCTTAAAATGGTAGTTAAATTCACTGCCTAGAGAGAGAGAATTCTTTAAGAAAACAGAGCCAAAAGATGATTTAATATTTAATGAACTCTATTTGAGAGATTCCAGGAACCAATAACCATCTCTCAAGATCTCAGGAAAACCCAATGCTTGAAACATGTAAATATTTAGCAGAATATGAAGAACACACCACCACTACCAACTGATCTCAGCCCTTAACCACCCAATAAAACTTTGCAACTTTTAGATAAAAGAATTTGCACCTAAAAAGACATCAACTCTTTAAAGCCCAGAGACTCCAATATTAACAGAAGTAAAAAGCAAGTCAGAATACTGCCACAACAATATTCAAGCTATATGTATCTTAATCTCCCATATAGCAACATGTAACCCTCTTGGCTATCTATAGCTCCTGCCCTATTTTAGTAACCTCCAAAAGTGAGGCATTTGTTTTCTGACCAAAGATTCCTTGACTCCTAATTTATGATTCCTATACTTCCCTAAATTCTATCCCTCCTTCTCCTCAGCTGCCTCTACTCAACCTTCTCTCACATTTCTAGTCAACTCCAATAAGGATTTTTATGTTACACCCTGAAGACAAGGCCTTAGGCCTTGTATACAGCATCCAAATAAGCCCTAGTGTTTAACATTTTTGGCTTGTATCTTAGGTCTTTTCTCTTAGGTAATTAGGAACTGAGAAAATGCATGAAACACAAATTGTCCATTTTTTAAAAGTAGCTTTTACATAAAATTGATAAAGTCTGAAATAGATGACTAAACTGTGCCAAGTATTTCATTTATTGAAGCTAATTTCATCCCTAAATAACAAAATTAAGTTGTGAATACTATACTTGAACAGGGATTTTCTTTGGAAACTATAAGGTCATTAGAAGTTAACTATGGGAGCAACCCGGGTGGCTCAGTGGTTTAGCGCTGCCTTAGGCCCAGGGTGCGGTCCTGGAGACTTGGGATCAAGTCCCACGTCGGGCTCCTGGCATGGAATGGAGCCTGCTTCTCCCTCTGTCTGTGTCTGTGAAAACCTTGCTCAGCAACTAATTACCTATACTCCACTCCAAAAAATAATTTGATCCATTTTTCTCTAAGGACCCTAATTTGAATTACTTGCTGTTCAAGTCATTTTATCTTTAACCTAAATTGTCTTTATTAAAACAAAAAATGGAAGGCTTCTATTTTGTGCATTAACAAAAATTATACCTAAGAATTTATTAAATTTCAAGACTGTAAAATTCTCAACTATCTCCAACTGAGTTATTACTGAGGACACTACCGAAAAGTTTCTTTGAAAGAAACCTACCCTTCTGCCCTAAAATTCTGAATATCCAAGTCTCGTAAAAATATGCATACCCTGGGAGTGGCTATGATAGATGAGCACTGTATAAAATACATCCGTACAATGTATAAAGTTCTCTCCCCTTGACAGTGGTTTTCCTTTTAGACTGCCTTACCTTTAATAAATCTGAGACTACCCATTTTAAATAAGCTTCAGCTGTATGGTTCTGCAACCATAAAATAAATCAATTTTAAACTAAGAGTTTGACAATTATAATCAAGAAACAATTATAATCGATCGTAGGGGACTCTTCCTTCTTACCGTTATTTTTAAGGAAACCACTATCCTTCTAATGTCATTTGGGGCACAAAATAATCACCAACTGAAATCTATAGCTAAGTTAAACAAAAAAAAAAAAAGAAAAAGTGGGGGCAGGGAACTAACATAACAATAAAAAACAGAAGAAAATACCAGAGTGATACTGCATCTCTTCCTTCACAATGCCAAATATTTTGTTACCATATGACCCAAAGCCTTTTTAACTATCCCTCAAAGGCTTTAGAGAAACCTTTCTTCAAGGCATGAAATTAAACAGGAAAATGGTCATAAACATCTCTTAGTGATGCTTTTTGTCTTTCATGAGTAATAATGATGAATTTCCAGATTGGTGAGCATAAGGCTGTGTCTACACATCACCCACCTGAAATACCTCAGATTTTACCAACTCCCTACTGATGCCCCTCAAAATGACTACTGTGTAGACTTCACCAAAGATGTGGGGACACTCTTAGAAACTGGCTTAAAGTAACATCCTATAATTTATATGGAAATGATCAAATGAGAATTAGTCATTATAAAAACAACAAATTAATGAAATAAGATCATGAACTCTACAAAATAAATCAAAACCAAATTTTCCCCTACGTAAGCAATGTTTAAAAAGCTAAATATAGGAAGATTATGCAAGAGAAAAGTCTCAACAAAATTTACCATGAATTCATAAAATTGAGGTAAAATTCAGGTTAAACATCACAAATTCTAAATAATTCAAACTAATTTATAATAATACTACTTCCTCATTTCATATTCTACGATATTATTTAAAGTATTTCTAAACTTACCCAAATGAAGTAATGTAAACTGGGCTGCCAGTTCCTTTGCATCTTCTAATGTAGTACAGAGTTTGTCTGGCATAAAGTAACTCTGGGATCCATTTGCAATAGCAGGAATAACAATTTTATATACCAAGAGTACTTTCCCATCTTGACTTGTTGTTGAATATAAATAATATTCTGGTGGTGCCCAATTATTTTTGTTGCAGTAATAATCCAAATGCATTACTGCAGAATTGAAATGATTGGATTTTAAAGAATACATGCTAATTGGAGTAAGCTTTGTTCCAGGAAAAAATGGATAAGTGCATCTTTCGATTTCAGGGGGGCTTGGGCTATGCTGACCATTGAGACGAGCTGGAAGAGTTGGTGGTTTGCCTAGAGTTTTTGGGTGGCTCTCTTCTTTGTTAGAAAACACAATCAGGTTTTCAGAATTAGGGCTAATCTGACCATTAAGATGCTGTCTCCAAGTGTTTTCTTTATTTACTGGTTTTGCCAGTGTTACCTCAATACTTGCTCCATCAATGCATTTTCCATTCATAACAGACATAGCAGCCACTGCATCTTCTCGGTTGAAAAAGTGAACAAAAGCATAATCTCTAAGTTTCTTTACTCGTTCAACTGCACCAGGTTTGAATTTGTTGAATTCTGCTTTAATAGTCTCCTCTGTAGTTGAGATCATTAAATTTCTTACATAGAGAACTTTAACTCTCTGCATGGTTTCCTCATCAACCTCTTTCTCTGGGTCAGCCCAATCTACCTGAATGGTATGGCCCCATAGTTGGAAGGTACCTATAAAAAAAGAAATTAACCTGAAGACAATTAAAACAACTAAAGGAAAAAAAAATAAAACAACTAAAGGTCAAAAACTATTAAACAAAACTTTCTCCAGAGAAGCAGGAACACAAATACCTATCAGTATACTTGATTAAACATTAGTTTCTCACAAGAAAACCTTCATGAAAGTTTTTACTAAGGCAAACAAACCCCAGCTAGAATTTACAGTACAATTCATTTCAAGAGTCAACAGTACAAAGACACTTCAAAAACACTTTTACCAGAAGAATTAGGTACTGTCCTTTGGATTTTTATCAAACAACAATTAATTCCACCAAAAAAGTGTATACAATCAGTAAATTAGTATATAACTACAGATAATGACTCATAAGAACAACTTCTGGCCTTCTTAGAACCCTTATTTCACTTCTTACTCAAAAAATCTACCTCTTTAAGGACATCACATATTTTCAAAATATTGATCTATGAGGTGTCATTCTTCCATGTTTATACTAAGGCTAATATAAAAAAATAAACTTCAGAAGGACAAGTTTACCTGGAATTAGTTTTCTCCTAGCCATAGCAGCAGCTCTGTGAGATTCATATTCAACAAATGCAAAACCACGATTTTTGGTTTTATCAGTTGCACTTGGATAAACAATGACATCTACAACTCCTTCTGTAACTTTCTTCATTTCATCCAAAATTTCTTCTTTCTTCTTTTCCTTAGGAATAGCTCCAATAAATAATCTGCAATTATCCAAGCTTACACACACACCAATAAACTTCCCTGGTCGAATCTCATAATTATTAAGAATTCTGATGGCTAACTGAGCCTCTTCTTTTGTAGTGTACATCACGAAAGCATACCCTCGATTTTCACCACTAAATTCCATCATAAGTCGAAATTCATATATCTTTCCAGCTCTTTCAAATACAGGAACTAACTCATCTTCATACATATCACGAGGTATTTTCCCTACAAAAACTTCACAGCCTCTAGGTGGAGGGGGACCTTCCCAACCTGAAAGTCAAAAATAAACAAATTCTAGTTAACATATTTATATGCACTATTCAATGATCATTCATTCCACAAATTTACTGTGCTTTCTATGTGCTGTGCACCACTCCAGATGTTGAGGATACAAATGAACGAAACAGAAGACCTTTCCCTCATAGGCTTAAATTCAATAGAGAAAAGAGGCCATGATTGGTAAGGGCTATGAAAAAAAAAAAAAAAAAAGGCCACACAAGAGTTGATATTTTTGGTAGTCAGGTAAACCTTCTCTGAGAACATGAGGTTTAAACAGAGACCTGAATAAAATGAGGGAATAAGCCTTCAGAACATATCATTAAGAAAAAGCAAGTGTTTTATATATTAAAACAACATCAAGTGCATAGGCCTGTATGGCTAATGAGTACTTGAGGTAGTATTAAAGTGGTGGGCATTGCAGCCATCCATGTGGCTACAGGCCAGATTTTAAGTCTAACAGGAAGATAATTGGAGAGTTATGAGCAAATAAGTTATACTAGCTACTAGAACAGCAAAACATATTTAGATAGCTGTTTCCATCTGGTTTGCCTCTAGTATAAACACCACTCCTCTACTCACTGCTCTTTCAAAATCCTCCCCAAAACAACCTCTCCTTTAATAGTTAAAGTATTCTTTCCCCCGTAACTCAATCCTGACTTCTTTATAAACCTAACTAGAACACCTGAAAGACTCCACCAAAAATTGCTGGAACTGATACACAAATTCAGTTGCAAGATATAAAATCAATGTACAGAAATCTGCTGCATTTCTATACAAAAATAATGAAGCAGCAGAAAGAGAAATCAAGGAATTGATTCCATTTAAACTGCACCAAAAATCACAGATATTCTTAGATACCTAAGAATAAACCTAACCAAAGAGGTAAAAGATCTATACTCTGAAAACTATAGAATGCTCATGAAAGAAAATGAAGAGGACACAGAGAAATGGAAAAACATCCCATGCTCACGGATTGGAAAAACAAATATTGTTAAAATGTCTATATTACCCGAAGCAATCTATACATTTAATGCAATCCTTATCAAAATACTAGTAGCATTTTTCACATAACTAGAACAAAAAAAAATCTGAAAATTTGTATGTAACCACAAAAGACCCCAATTAGCCAAGGCAATCATGAAAAAGGGAAAAAAGCTGGAAGTATGATTCTGGACTTCAAGCTATATTACAAAGCTGGAGTCATCAAGACAGTATGGTACTGGCACAAAAAGATACATAGCCCAGTGGAACAGAAAACCCAAAAATGGACCCACAACTATATGTTCAACTAATTTTTGACAAAGCAGGAAAGAATATCCAATGGAAAAAAGTCTCTTCAGCAAACGATATTGAGAAAGCAAAATGTCAGACGACAACATTCCGAAGAATAAAATTGTACTACTTCCTTAATACCACACATAAAAATAAATTCAAAATGTATGAAAGACCTAAGTGGGAGACAGAAAAACATCAAAAGCCTAGAAGTGAATACAGGCAGCAAACTCTTTGATCTCAGCCATAGGAACTTTTTTTTTTTTTAAGATTTTATTTATTTATTTACTTATTTATTTAGGGAAAGTGCACACATATGCATGGAAGCCTGAGTGAGGGGAGGGACAGAGGGAAAAGGAAAAAGAACTTCAATCAGACTCCAAACTGAACAGAGAGCCCGACATGAGGCTCAATCTCATGACCTTGAGATCACGATCTGAGCTAAATCAAAAGTCCGATGCCTAACCAACTGAGTCCCTGAAGCACCCCACTATAGCAACTTCTTACTAGACACATCTCTGGAGGCAAGGAAAACAAAAGCAAAAATGAACTATTGGAATTTCATCAAAATAAAAAGCTTCTGCACAGTGAAGGAAATAATCAATTAAAGGAAAAGGCTGCCTATGGAATGGGAGAAGATATTTAAATAACATCTAATAACGGATTAGTATCCAAAATCTATAAAGAACTTATCAAATTTGGCACCCCAAAAAACAAATAATCCAGTTAAGAAATGGGCAAAAGATATGAATAGACATTTTTCCAAAGAAGACATCCAGATGGCCAAAAGACATGTGAAAAAATGCTCCCCATCACTTATCACCAGGGAAATACAAATCAAAACTACAATACGATTCCATCTCACACCTGTCAGAATGGCTGAAATTAACAACACAAGAAAAAACAAATGATGGCAAAGATGCCAAGAAAATGGAACCCTCTGATACTGTTCATGGGAATGTAAACTGGTGCAGCCACTCTAGAAAACAGGAAGTTCCTTAAAAAGTTAAAAATAGAACTACCCCATGACCCAGCAGTTGCACTACTGGATACACAGGATACAAAAAATACTGATTTGAAGGGGCACATACACCCCAATGTTTATAGCAGCATTTATCAACAAGAGCCAAATTATGTAAAGAGCCTAAATGTCCATCAATTGATGAATGGATAAAGATGTGGTATACACACACACACACACACACACACACACACAATATGGGATATTACTCAGTCATCAAAAAGAATGAAATTTTGCCATTTGCAATAACGGATGGAGCGAGGGTATACTATGCTAAGTGAAATAAATCAGTCAGAAAAAGACAAATACCATATGATTTCATTCATATGTGGAATTTAAGAAACAAAACAGAGGAATATAGAGGAAGGGAAAAAAAAGAGAGGGAAGCAAACCATAAGAAACTCTTAACTACAGAGAACAAACTGAGGGTTGCTAGAGCCGGGGAGTATAGGGGTTATTACCTGGTGATAGGTATTAAGGAGGGCCCTTGCTGCATTAAGCACTGAGTATTATATGTAAGTGTTGAATCGCTGAATTCTAACCCTGAAACCAATATTACACTATATGTTATATATGTTAACCAACTAGAATTTAGTAAAAATTTGGGGAAAAAAACCTCGCAAACCCAACTTCCTTCTCAACTATTTCTTAAATCAAGAGCAGAGATGAAAAAAAATAATAATAAAAGAATCAAACATGCATAACATACACAATCTACCTCTTTTCCCTCACAACAGTAAAAACGATTGCTAAGGTCTTAAAGCAGTTATAAGGAAAGAACTATTGTTCGGCATACTTATGGATATGTATACCTAATGTACATTAAAGATTCAATTTTTTTGAACATAAATAAATCCACACCTGGAGGAGGACCACCAAATTTTCTTTGCCCATTCTCTTGAACCATGTTGTAACCAGTCTTTTCCATCAAAGCAAGTAATGCTGCCTCATTCTGAGTACCGGTTCTGACTTTACTGCATCCATTTGTTCCATCTATGCTTTCTTCATTCATGGTTGCAGTTCCTAAAACAAAATTCAAAAATAATGTTTATGACATGAAGCCACAGAGCTCTGTGAAGGATTTCTTTGGGTTGCAAGGAACCAAAAACATTTGTGGATGCTACATTTGGTGATCACTACAGTCCTGCCCACAAAGTTCTGCTCCACAAATGGAAGCTAGAAATTTCATTTAATGTCACTGATCAATCAAGCAGTACCTTTAGAAAGTCTAAGCTACAAGAAAGGGAGGCAAAAGTAAAAAAGAGAAAAGAACAAAAAAAAAAAAAAAGAAAAGAAAAGAAAAAAAGAAAAAACAAATAAGTGAAAAGGAATTAGCAAAGAAAAAAAGCAAAAGAAGTAACAAAATAAATATACTGCCATTAATGAATATGACCACTGCTGATCGATACAGCCAAAATTTAAGTTTTTTATCATATAGGCCAATTGGATTTTACTGTGCCTTACATTTTTCGGATAAATGTAGCCTAATGCCAGTATAGCTCACGTTGTCAACAATCTTTAAGAGCTCCACTAGTTATCAGAAATTGAACAGATGCTCGGAGTTGAAGTAAAGAGAACTTCAAACCAGCCCCTGTTCCTAAAAGCAGCTACTAGAGAAAGCAGGGATCACAATGACTTTCTCTGAGCAGAAACAGGAACTACTGTGATTTTCAACTAGCAGCAACTTAAGAAAATTACCTAAGGGGTTCATGGTTGGCTCAGTAGGTTAAGCTTCTGACTCTTGATTTCAGCTCTGGTCATAACCTCAGGGTTGTGAGATTAAGTCCGTGTCAGGCTCCATGCTCAGAACAAAGTCTGCTTGAGATTCTCTCTCCCTCTCCCTCTGCCCCTCCTGTTCAAGTTCTCTCATTCTCTCAAAAATAAATATTTTTAAAAATTACATCAATGGGTAAGCAGGAGCTAGGGAGAACGTGAGATCTGTGTTGACCACTGTATATAAAAATGTTTTTAATTTTTTTAAATGAACTTAATTACCATATCCATAAGTCATCAGAAAAATCACATTGATCCCACAGATTAATAGTGCGATTTATTCCATTTCTTAATTTTATATCTCCCTTATTTGGTTTTATCATGAACAAATACAAAAATTAAAATCCACAGTATGGGAAATGTACTGGGAAAGCCATTTTGGCTTTCAATAGAACTTTCCCAAATGGAAACCACGTCACTGTAGCACACCATTTTAAAAAGTATGAAATATTCAGCCAGAGCACCTCAGTTTGACTTAGCTCTGCCACTTTCTAGCTATGCAAACCTGGTGGCTCAGTCGGTTAAGGATCTGATTCTTGATTTCAGCTCAGGTCATGACCTCAGGGTCCTGAGATCTAATCCTGCATTGGGCTCTGCATTCAGCAAGGAGTCTGCTTGGGATTCTCTCCCAATCCCTCTGCCCATCCCTCCACCCCCACTAGAGCTCTCTCTCAAAAAAAAAAAAAAAAAAAAAAAAAAAGAGAGAGAGAGAGAGAGAATTAAGATATTCTGTAGGCATACTGAATTCAACATACCCAAAACTGGAATATCATTTTATCTTCCAAACCTGTTTATGTTTCCTGTTTTACATCTTCATCAATTCATGCATTCAACAAGGGCACAACAAACATACTCCCTCCCCTCCAAACTTTCACAACCAGAAACTCATGAGTTAACCCAGAGTATTCCTTTGATTCACAGCTAATCATTCACAAAGATCTGCATATTTTACCACTGAATATATCGTGAAATCAATCTTCATATCCTGTTCTCGAATATTACCAGAATTAGTACTAGTTTCCAGATTTTAGTCTTGTGCCCTTTGAACAAAATCTCCATGATGCTATCAAGGTGATATAAAATATGTATATCAGGCAGCCCGGGTAGCTCAGTGGTTTACCACCGCCTTCAGCTCAGGGCTTGATCCTGGAGACCTGGGATCCAGTCCCACATCAGGCTCCCTGCATGGAGCTTGCTTCTCCCTCTGCCTGTATCTCTGCCTCTCTCTCTCTATGTCTCTAATGAATAAATAAATAAAATATTTTAAAAAATAAAATAAGTATATCATCTTAAGCTTTGACTACAAATCGAAACTAAAGAGAAAAAATTAGCACATTTACATTTTAATCTTAAAATCAAGCAGGCCATTCTAAAAAAAATAAAAAAGCCTCGAAGGAAAATATTGCTATATTATTTTCACTAAATAAATATTAACTATTATTTTGGAAGGCAAAAAAACAAAATCAAGGCTGAAAATTATAAACAGGGAAAAATGATCTGCAACACACATATTTAAGGCTAATTTAAAATAAAGAAGAGCAGCACGGTGTCACAATTAAGAGCCAATTCAAGTATCCAAATAATTGCTTATATGCAAATCCTGTTCTCCTCCTTAATAGCTCTGACTTTGGGCAAGTTTGGCTTCAGTTTACTTGTCCCTAAGAAATGGATAATAATAGTTTCTACCTCACAGGGTTGCTGCCAGGACTAAGCATAAAGGACTTAAAAAACAGTATTTTGCATATAAACACTGCAAATGTATTTACTATCTAATTAATACACAATAAATAAAACTAACTTCTAATAAAATTTTGTCCAATAAATTAGTAAAATAATAAGAAAAGCACAAACTGCAAACCAGGGATTGCAAACTCAGATTCATTCACTTGTTCAACAAATGTTTGTTGAGCACCAACTGTATGTGAGTACTATTCCTTATGTCTGGGCTACATCAGTAAAAGACCAAAATTCCTCCCTGGAATAGCTTGTTCGCCAGTGGCAGAAAACAAATGATAATAAAAGTAATAAGGAAGTAATGTATGTTAAAAGGTAATTGTGTGGGCAGCCCCGGTGGCCCAGCGGTTTAGCGCCGCCTTCAGCCCAGCGGTTTAGCGCCTCCTTCAGTGTGATCCTGGAGACCCGGGATCAAGTCCCACGTCAGGCTCGGGGTGGGGGTGGGGGGAAGGTAATCGTGTGTGGGAGGGAGTATAGGGTATATAGAAGGGATCGACAGAAGACAGGGTACAATTTTAAATAGGATAACTAGTACTGACCTCAATGAGAAAACATTTGAGCAAAGAATTAAGAAATGTATCCATCTAGTTATTTGGGAAGTGCCTTCTGCACAAATAGAAAAATGAAGACAAAGGTACAAGGTAGAAGTGTGCATGGCACACAAAAGGTACAGCAAGGTGACTGGTATGGTAAAGCCAGTGGGGGGTGGGGGATGGGTATTTCAGAATAAGAATAGTAGGAGATGGCCAGCCCAGATGGCTCAGCAGTTTAGCACCGTCTTCAGCCCAGGATGTGATCCTGGAGACCTGGGATCCAGTCCCACGTCAGGCTCCCTGCGTGGAGCCTGCTTCTCCCTCTGCCGGTGTCTCTCATGAATAAATAAATAAAATCTAAAAAAAAAAAAAAAAAAAGGAATAGTGGGAGATGAGATCAGAGAGGTAACAAGCTGCCACATGACACAGACCTTAAGTCACAGACACAGACCGTAAGTCAGGTAATGAAGGGCTTTAGCTTTTTTTTTTTAATTTATTTACTTATTTATTCATGAGAGAGAGAGAGGCAGAGACATAGGCAAAGGGAGAAGCAGGTTCCCTGCAGGGAGCCTGATGCAGAACTCAATCCCAGAACCCCGCGGTCACAACCTGAGCCAAAGGCAGATGCTCAACCACTGAGCCACCCAGGTGCCCCTAGCTTTTATTCTGAGTTAAATGAGGAGCCACCATAGATTCCTAAACACAGAATATGATCTTGCCTTTTTAAAGTCAAAAAGAAGTGGGGTGCCTGACTGGCTCAGCGAGTAGAGCATTCGACTCTTGATCTCAGGGTTCAAGTGTGTTCAAGCCCCATATTAGGTGTAGAGTTTACTTAAAAATCAAATCTTCAACAACAACAACAACAAAAAGAACAAAGGAGGAAGCAGGGAGACCAATGAGTAAACTAGGACTAAAAGAGAGATGGTAGCATGGATGAGAGAGAGGCTGGTGAAAGGAAAAAAATAAAGTCGTTTCTGATATGAGATATATTTTGAAAATATATCCAACAGAATTCACCAATAGACTAGATACGGATCATGAAATGAATAGAGAAGTCAAGGATAAGACCAAAGTACTGGTCCAAGCAATGAGAAGCCCAATGACGAGAAAGAACAGATTTTAGGGGTAAAATCAAAGTTCAGTTTTGGACATAAGTTTTTGTATCCACTAAATGACTAACTCAAATGCCTACAAGGCCCTGGGAAGAAATGTTAAATGAGCAGAAAGGACAAGGACAAGACTCTAAGAAGTGCTAAGCACCATCTTGAAAGGGCAGTGACTACTCAATTCTAGCAAACTATTAGCATGATCAAATCCAGTTTACACAATTATGCCAAATTTTCCAACTTTTCAGGAAGGAAGCTGTAAATCTGATTCTTATGTGAAATCTCAATTTTTAAAATCTGAGAACCAAAGAACTACATTTCCCTACTAAACCTGCAAAACTGGTAGGAATGCAAACTGGTGCAGCTGCCATGAAAAACAGTATGGAGGTTTCTCAAAAAATTAAAAATAGAATTACCAGATGATCCAGTAATTCCACTACTGGGGGGTATTTACCCAAAGAATAGGAGAATGCTAATTTAAAAAGATATATGTGCTCCTATGTTCATTGCAGCATTATTTACAATAACCAAGCTATGGAAGTAACCTTAAGTATCCACTGATAAACAGATGGATAAAGATGTGACATAATCCAAACAGTGGAATACTAGTCAGCCATAAAAAAGAAACTGTGCCATTTGTGACAACATGGATGAACCTACAAGGGCATTATGCTAAGCAAAATAAGTCAATCAGAGAAAGACAAATACCATACGATTTCACTCACATGTAGAATTTAAGAAACGAAACCAAATGGACAAAAAACAAGAGACAAAACAGAGACCCCCCCAAAACAGTCTTAAATACAGAGAACAAAATGGTGGCTGCCAGAAGGGAGGTGGGTAGGGTGGTAGGTTAAGCAGATGAAAGGAAATTAAG